AAAATAAGCCTCAAAATAAAATAAATAAACTTTAATGCCGTGTTTGTTTCCTTCTGCCACCGACCCATCAACTGTTGAATAGGTAAACTCAGCAGAGCTGGCTTTATTTTATTTGTTTGTTTTCTATATGGCTGCTGTCCTGCTGTCTAGCCAAATTGGAGCACTGATGACGTTGCCTAGTTGGGTCATGAAAGGTCTGCTGGATAACAGCCAAGCTCAGAGAGCTCCAAGGACCCCACAGTTCTCCTCCTCCTCCTCCTCCTCCTCCTCCTCGCAAACCCCCCTTCCTTCTAGCATTGATGATGTTACCTAGTTGGGTAATGAAATGTTCGTAAGAAAACCACCAGACTCAGAGAGCACCAAGGACCCCACAGTCGTCGTCCTCCTCCTCCTCCTCCTCCTCCTCCTCCTCCCCACACACTCACCTCCCAGCTCAGAGAGCAGCAAGGAACCCATAGTTCTTCTCCTCGTCCTCCTCCACTCACAAACCCCACTCCCTTTTAGCACTGATGATGTTACCTAGTTGGGTCATGAAACGTCTGCAAGAAAACAAGCAAGCTCAGAGAGCACCAAGGACCCCACAGTCATTCTTCCTCCTCCTCCTTCTCCTTCTCCTCCACTCTGCAAACCCTTTTAGTACTGATAATGTTATCTAGTTGGGTCATGAAACATCTGCAACGGAACAACTAAGCTAAAAGAGCATCAAGGATCCCACACTCCTCCTCCTCCTCCTCCTCCTCTTCTCCATATACCTCATTCCCTTCAAGCACTGATGATATTCCGTAGTTGGGTCATGAAACGTCTGCAAGGAAACAACCCAGCTCAAAGCGCACCAGGAACCCCACAGTCCTGCTCTTCCTCCTCCTCTCCACACCCCCCCCACTCATTTGTAGCACTGATGATGTTCCCTAGTTGGGTCATGAAACATCTGCAAGAAAACCACCCAGCTCAGAGAGCACCAGGGACTCCAGAGAAGGCCTCAGCTCCCTTCTCCAGGACTCGTTACCCTGACCAATGATTGTATTGGATAGAACTTAGGGGAGACGTCATCAAACTCAAATGCCATCAAACCAGGTTAAAAAAGATTTATCTGTTCGAAGCAGCCCCGGGCTCTCCTCAAGACTTTTGCCAAGTCAACAAGCTTCTTCTACTCAAGAGGTCCTCTACATCAGGGCTTTTCAACCAGTGGGACGGGTACCACCTGTGGTCCATTGGCACCTGGCAGGTGGTACGCGACCATCCTAGAAAAGGGGTAGCAGGGGAGGGGAAGGAACTGAACCGGTGGCAGCACCGTACAAGCCTGAGCGAGAGACGGCTGGAGCTGCAGGGCTGTCGGGGCTCAGCGGAAGCGCCAGGATCAGCACCAGGCTCCAGCTGGAGCTCAGCACCGATCCTGGCGCTTCTGCTGAGCCCAGAAGAAGCACCAATCAGCTGGAATGTTGCAGCCTCTCCAGGGTCTTGTGATTTACATTCAGAGGCTTGGCAACTGATTCCTATTTATGACGGTCACAGTGTCCCAGGGTCATGTGAAGTGACCCAAACCTGCTGCAACCACCCAGCAGACACGGGGGGAATAAAAACCAAACAGCCCCCCCCACCCCACCCCCGCTGCCAATCCTCAACAGAAATGCTCACAACCATGAAAACCTCGGACAGGAGGAAGAGCGCCACTGAGTGGGCAGGCAGGTGTCTTGCTCGGCTGTGGCTTGGGATGCACTATTTCAGTGCCATTGTAACTTCTAAGAGTCACTAAGCCAACTGTTGTAAGTCGAGGACTACCTGTATTTTATCACTTTTTTCCTTTTCCTTTTTTTTTTTTTTTGGTCATCAAGTTTTTGACCCCTTGCTAGGCGACTGGTGGTCCTCGGATGTTGCCATATCCTAAAAGTGGTACAATGGGTGAAAAGGTTGAAAAGCCCTGGATTAGAAGACCTCCAAGGTCCCTTCCAACATTATTATTAATATTATTATTATTTTTCCAGCGCCATTGTAACTTTGAACAGTCAGTAAACCCAACGGAGCCCCTAATTTTCGTGGCTGAGCAAGGAGGTTGTTGTGAATTCTGCCCCGTTTTACAACCTTTCTCTCCACAGTCATTAAATGAATCACGGCAGTTACTAAGTGCATCTGGCCTCCCCCTCAACTTGGCTTGTCGGACGTTCGCAAAAACGGAACCCATGACCACGGGACACTTGCGACCGTCATAAATAGGAGTCCGTTGTCAAGCGTGTAAATTCTGATCACGTGACTCCGGGAAGGCAGCAATGGTCGTTAAGTGTGAAAAACGGTCCTAAGTCCCTTTTTTCCAGTGCTGTTGTAACTTGGAACGGTCGCTAAACAAGAGCTACCTGTATAGATTTCACGATATTTTACTGTAACTAAGTAGCATGGTTAGATAATGGCTTTTTGTGAAGCAACGTTTTGTATAGAAGTCACATTTTTTCAGTGTCGTCCTAACTTTGGACGGTCGCTAAATAAACAGTCGTAAGTCAAGGACTACCTGAACTGCTACAGCAATGATATCCAGAGGCACCCAACTTTTCTTCCCAACAATGCTAGCAAACAGTACAGCTTTAAAGGATGACAAATTCCAACACCTTTCTTTCTTTCTTTCTTTCTTTCTTTCTTTCTTTCTTTCTTTCTTTCTTTCTTTCTTTCTTTCTCTTTCTTTCTTTCTCTTTCTTTCTTTCTTTCTTTCTTTCACACATACAACACAATCTACTATTCTCTTTGTCAGCTACAAGGCTCTCTGCAAAAAATAATAATAATAAATTCTGCACTCCATAAGTAAGGCTACCTGGTTCCCCCCCCCCTTGGGGGGAGAAATACAGTAAGGATGGGGGCTGGATTCGGAATCAACATTCATGAGGTCTCACTGCTTTCCCCTGCCCACAAATTCTCCCACCGTGGGAATTGCACCAGGCAAAAATGCTCAAATTTGGCTTGGCCAAGAGGAAGATTCTAATTCTGCAATTTCTCCTTCCCCAAAACGGCCGCCCAAAAACGGGTCCTCCGGCTGCGCTAACTTTAAACTTCCACTTTCTCACTCTGAAGCACAGCCAAGTATCACTTCTTCAAGCGAGCCGAGTTCGAAAGAAGCTACGATTCGGTTCCTAGAGCAGAGCCCGGAGACGGGGCGAAAAAAAAAAAACAGCCACCAGCACGTCCGCTTGGTACTTGGAAAGTCGACAAAGAGAAGTGTGACTCTGCCCTGCTACAACACGGCAACAAACACGTGCGCTTCCAAGCAACCACTTCTGCTTCCAGGGCTTTTAAAAATTATTTTTCCAGCTTTAGTGACTGTCAAGGTTAACCGGTTCCTTTTGTCTTCTGTCCTCCAACGTACAGTAATTTCAACCAGCGTGGGAGGGAAAAAAATTTTTTCTTTTCTTTGCAGAAACAAAGGTTCAGATCCCTGGGTTTCCTCCCCCCCCCCCATGCTTTCAAAGAAACAAACCACTGTCTCCTCAGTGAGCTGAAGTTCTCCAGAACATAGCAGAGATAAGCTACAGAGGAGAATTATTTGAGGCCCAGGGCTGAACTGGGGGGTCCTTGGTGCTCTCTGAGCTTGGTTCCGTTCTTGCAGACCTCTCATGACCCACTTAGGGTATGTGATCAGGGCTTGAAGGAAGTGGGGTTTGCAGGGAGGAGGAGGAGGAGGAGGAGGAGGAGGAGGAGGAAGAGGAGGAGGAGGACAATGAAGACGACTGTGGTGTCCTTGGTGCTCTGTGAGCTTGGCTGTTTTTTTACAGATTTTTCATGACCCAACTAGGTAACATCATCAGTGCTAGAAGGGGGGAGGGGGAGGAGGAGGAGGAGGAGGAGGTAGAGGAGGAGAAGGAGCATGGGGTACTGGATGCTCTCTGAGCTGGGTGGTTTTCTTGCAGATGTTTCATGACCCAACTAGGCAACATCATCAGTGCCAGAAGGTGGAGGGGGGGTTGCTGTCTGCTTATATACAATGGTTTGTCCTGTCAATGTAAGAGGGACAATCAAGGAACTACCAACTCAAATGAAAAGCCAACAGTAAACAACAGCCTATTCTAGGAACCCCCCAAGAACACTCCCACTGACAGGGCAAGCCACTTTCATATAAACAGAGCAAGTTTGCCTTCATTTATGAGAGAGCAAACCCCACACTCCCTAGCACTGATGATGTTACGTTGTTGGGTTGTGAAATGTCTGCAAGGAAACAACCAAGCTGAGAGAACACCAAGGACTCTACAGTTCTCCTCCTCCTCCTCCTCCTCCTCCTCCTCCTCCTCTCCACAAACCCCACTCCCTTTTTTATATATATGTTTTTTTATTTTATTCAAAACAAAGTTAAAATACAAAGTATAAAACTCAAAAAAAAAATCCCCGAAGAAGACAAAAAAAGAAAAACAAACACAAAACAATTAAAGCATTAAAAACCATGCATCCAAAATATCACTCCTTTCTAGCATTGATGATGTTACCTAGCTGGGTCATGAAACGTCTGCCAGAAAGCAACCACGCTCAGAGAGCAGCAAGGACCCCACAGTCGTCGTCCGCCTCCTCCTCCTTCTCCTCCTCCTCCTCCACACACTGACCTCCCTTCTAGCACTGATGATGTTCCCTAGTTGGGTCATGAAACGTCTGCAAGAAAACCGCCAAGCTCAGAGAGCACCAAGGACCCCCCTAGATAAAACCCAATTTGGTCACCGTAATACGGTATCTTTCCACTCTAATTCACATCTGGGTTCAACTATCCAACCCCTCCTAATTCTTTCACCATTTTACTGATCCGTTGGGGTCCAGCCCAGTGAAGAATTATCAACTTCCTGGGCTTAATCCTCCAGTCCCTAACACCAAAACGCCGCTTATGTGTCGGAACAAGACGGACAGATAACAAGAAAAAGCTGACGAAGGCGAGAGGTTTGCAGACAGCCAAATAAATGCAGATTCGCAGAGCCACCACAGTGCAAGATTTCAGGTAACCGAGTTCTCCATCCATCAAGGAAAAAAAAAAGACAACTCACCTGTTCCTGGGAATTCATGACTCGGAGCTTCATCTGCTTCAGGTAAGTGGAGGTGAGGGGCATGTTGTAATCAATGATGCCCGAGACCAGCGACGAAGGCGGTTCGTTTTCTGGAAGGAAAAAAGGAAAATGGGTCTTTTTTTTTTAAGTATTTTATTAATTTCCTATCATTGCAATTCGTTAGTGCTTAATGTGCTCTGGGTGGATTTTTGCTGAGTCATAAAAGTTACGTTCTTAGTCCCTATCTCGTTTTTCCAGCCACTGATAAAATAAAAATGGGTCTTTTTCAAAGGAAGACCAAGCAACTTTACCGTATCCTGGATCAGATCCAGCGGTGAGATTCAGCCGGTTTGCACCACTTCAGCAGAACCGGTAGCTAATTTTTTTTGTTGCCCAGGCCCAGAATGGACTTCCGAAAGTGGCATCCACACAGAGAACCGGTTGCTCACATATTTGAATCCCACCACTGATTGTATCTATCTATCTATCTATCTATCTATCTATCTATCTATCTATCTATCTATCTATCTATCTATCTATCCATCTATCTATCTATCATATATCTATCATTATCTATATCTATCATATGCTATCTATCATATCTATCTATATCGTATCTATCACATTTATCTATATATCTATCTAACAATCTATCATATCTATATCATATCTATCATATCTATGTATCATATTTATCTATCATATCTATCTTTCTATCATATATCTATATCTATCATATGCTATCTATCATATCTATATATATCATTATCACATCTATCTATATGATATCTATTTATCTAACAATCTATCGTATCTATATCTTATCTCATATCTATGTATCATATTTATCAATCACATCTATCTATCCATCCAACCACCTATCTCTACCTATCTATCTCTATCATATCTATCTATCTATCTATCTATCTATCTATCTATTTATCATATCTATATATATCCTATCTATCACTATCTATATCTATCTATCATATCCATATCTACCAATCATATCTATCATATCTATCTATATCATCTATGTATCAATTTATCTATTCTTTCTATCTATCTCTCTTATCACCTATCATATCTATCTATCTATCTCTATGTATCCATCCATCCACCTATCTCTACCTATCTCTCTATATCATCTATCTATCTATCTATCTATCTATCTATCTATCTATCTCTATCTATCTATTTATATCATATCTATATATATCATATCTATCACTATCTATCATATCTATCTATCATATCTATTTATATCATCTATCTATCTATCTGTATCTATATCTATCTCTATTATCTATCTCTCATCTTATCACCTATCTATCTATCTATCTATCCATATATCTATCTCTATTATCTCTCTCTCTATCACTCATCTTATCACCTCATATCTATCTATCTATCTATCTATCCATCCATTCACCTATCTCTACCTATCTATATCATATATCTATATCTATCATTATCTATCTATCTATCTATCCATCCATCCATCCACCTATCTTTCTCTACCTATCTATATCATATATCTATCTCATCTCATCTATCTATCTATCTATCTATCTATCTATCTATCTATCTATCTATTCTTTCTCTCTACCTATCTCTCATCTCTTATCACCTATCATATCTATCTATCCATCCATCCATCCATCTATCTATCTCTACCTATCTATCTATATCATCTGTCTATCTATCTATCTATCTATCTATCTATCTATCTATCTATCTATCTATCTATCTATCTATCTATCTATCATACTCAGATCCAACAAAAGGGATCAACATTCTGGATTCTCACCTATTCTCTGTTGGTCTATGAATACCTATCAACACAGATAGTTCTAGACTTATCACCAGTTACACAATCTGACGGTTGGAAGGGACCTTGGAGGTCTTCTAGTTCAACCCCTACGCAAGCAGGAGACCCTATATCATTCCGGAGAAATGGTTGTCCAATATTTTTCTTGAAAATCTCCATTGAGGGAGCACTCACTTGGCAACGGACTCATACTTATGACCGTTGCAATGTCGCGTGATTCCCTATTGCAACTTTCTGACGAGCAACGTCGCCATATTCACTTACCGACCGGGGGACTTACTTGAGAGCTGTAGTGTGGCAAGAAAGGGTTTAAAATGGGGCAAAACTCACTTAACCAAGGTCTGGCTTTGCCACAGAAATTTTCGGCCCAACTGTGGTCATAAATTGGGGGCTTTTTGTAATTAATTCAAACTGTCAGGAAATTCCTTCCAATTTCCAGATTGGATCTCCCCTCAGAGTAATAATAACAATAATAATAAAGTTGGAAGGGACCTTGGAGGTCATCAAGTCCAACCCCCTACTCAGGCAGGTAACCCTATACCATTTTGGACAAATGGCTGTCCAGTTCTCTTCTTGAAGACCTCCAGTGTTGGAGCGCCCACGATTTCTGGAGGCAGGTTGTTCCACTGGTTAATTGTTCTGATTGTCAGAAAGTTTCTCCTTAGTTCTAAGTTGCTTCTCTCCTTGATTAGTTTCCATCCATCGTTTGTTGCCCTGCCCTCAGGTGCTTTGGAGAATATATTGATACCCAACATGGATTTGCCCTGGATCACCCATCCCACAGCCTGACCAAGTCAACTTTCCATTGAAAATTAATTGTTAAAATTAATGTAATTAATTAGCTAATTATCTTGTCCCGAGAGAGACAGAAATACAAGCATTCTTCTTCTCTGATAAATTTCAGGCCTTATTTTGCCTTGATATTTCCCCCCCCCCCTCTGGCGTCATCTAAGTTTGGCTTATGGGGAGGGACACAAGGCTAATAATTGTCCTTGGATAACTTTTTCTGCTCTAATAACTCCTGATTTAAAGAAACGGAGAGAGTTGCTGGGCATTGAAAGTATCCCTCGCAATAAGACACAGCATAATAAATAACAGAATAACGGAGTTGGAAGGGACTTTGGAGGTCATCTAGTCCAACCCCCTGCTCAGGCAGGAAACCCTATACCATTTCGGACAAATGGCTGTCCAGTCTTTTCTTAAAAACCTCCCGTGATGGAGCATCCACAACTTCTGGAGGCAGGTGGTTCCACTGGTTAATTGTCCCCCGTGTTAGGAAGTTTCTCCTTAGTTCCAGGTTGCTTCTCTCCTTGATCAGTTTCCAACCATGGTTGCTCGTCCTGCCTTCAGATGCTTTGGAAAATAAGTTGACCTCCTCCTCTTCTTTGGGGCAGCCCCTCAAACACTGGAATACTGCTGTCAGGTCACCCCTGGTCCTTCTTTTGTCTAGACTGGCCGTACCCAATTCCTGCAACCGTTCTTAGTATGTTTTTGTCTCCAGGCACCTCAATCATCTTAGTTCAGCGGTTCTCAACCTGTGGGTCGGGACCCCAGTTGGGGTCGAACGACCATTTCACGGGGGTCGCCAAACAACGCAGTCTGCCATTTTTCCCCCCCTTTTCCTTAGCTGTGCTCCTCCCTTTTATTCTATTGGCTTTCGAAAGCCAATAGAATAGACTCTCTTGAATAGAGTCTAATTCTATTGGCTTTCAAAAGCCAATAGGAATTGCCCAGGCTGTCTCTGCCCTGCTGAGCCCGCCAAAAGTCCCATTCTGCAAATGGTGCTGCACCAGTTGAGTAGTCCTCGATTTACGACCGGTTGAGTAGTCCTTGACTTACGACCAGTTGGGGGGGGGTCGCGGCATTAAAAAGGTTGAGAACCACTGTCTTAGTTGCTCTTCTTTGCACTTTAAATCTCTCCTTCAAAGGGTTGGAGGGTTTTTTTTCAAAGCTCATTCATTGGCCCTGCTTGCATGGAGGAGATTCCTTTTAAAATGCTGATTTGGTGTGCTCCGTGAAAGAGCCCCCTTGTCAAAGACCTCTGTGCAGACAGAAGGGAAAGCAAAGCCTTGGGCGGTCCCCCATCCCCACTCTCCCCCACCCCGCTCCTGGCGATAACCTCCACGGCCAGGCTGTCCCTATGACCGACTGAGGGAAGCTCAGCTCAGAAGACAGAAGAGCCTTTGACAGCAAGGAGACAACTGCCCTTTTGCAGAGAAGACCTGCACCCATTTAAATATAGCCATGGATCGTCCCCATCCATTCGGGTAGCCAAGCATTCTGCGTATACGGAATGTAGTCCTTGACTTAACGGCCCCGGGTTGAGACAGAAAACTTCTGTTGTTAAGTAAAACAGTCGTACTTAATCGCAATTGCACTTAAGACTTATCTACCACTTCACAGTGCTTTACAGCCCTCTCTAAGCGGTTTACAGAGTCAGCCTGTTGCCCCCAACAATCCGGGTCCTCATTTTACCGACCTCAGAACGACGGGAGGCTGAGTCGACCTTGAGCCGGTCAAGATCGAACTCCCGGCTGTGGGCAGAGTTTGCCTGTAGTACTGCATTCTAACTCCTGGGCCACCAGATATAGAATAGGTGATGATAGATAGATAGATAGATAGATAGATAGATGGATGATAGGATATATGATACATAGATAGATAGATAGATAGATAGATAGATAGATAGATAGATAGATGATAGGATATATGATACAGAGAGAGAGAGAGAGAGAGAGAGAGAGAGAGAGAGAGAGAGAGATAGGATAGAATACATGATACATAGTGATAGATAGATATAGAATGATAGGATATATGATACATAAAATAGATAGATAGATAGATAGATAGATAGATAGATAGATAGATAGATAGATAGATAGATATGATAGGATATATGATATATAGAGATAAGATAGATAGATAGATAGTTAGATAGATAGATATGATAGGATATATGATACATAAAATAGATAGATAGATAGATAGATAGATAGATAGATGATAGGATATATGATACATAAAATAGATAGATAAATAGATAGAGATAGATAGATAAATAGACAGATAGACAGATAGACAGACAGATAGATAGATAGATAAATAGATAGATGGATGATATATGATTGATAGATAGATAGACAGACAGACAGATGACAGAGAGAAAGATTGTAGAGAGGGGCCGTAGAGCAATAGCAATAGCCCTTAGACTTATCTACCACTTCACAGTCTTTTACAGCCCTCTCTGAGCGGTTTACAAGAGTCAGCCTATTGCCCCCCCCAACAATCCGGGTCCTCATTTTATTGACCTCGGAAAGGATGGAAAGCTGAGCCGACCTTGAGCTGGTCAGGATCGAACTCCTGGCAGTGAGAAGTGAGTTAGCCTGCAATCCTACATTCTAACCATTGTGCACCATGGAAGGAAGAAAGGAAGGAAGGAAGGAAGGGAGGGAGGGAGGGAGGGAGGAAAGGAGGGAGGGAGGAAGGAAGAGCAATAGCACTTAAGACTTATATACTGCTTCACAGTTCTTTACAGCCCTCTCTAAGCGGTTTACTGAGTCAGCATATTGTTCCCCAACAATCTGGGACCTCATTTTACCGACCTCGGAAGGACGGAAGGCTGACTCAGCCTTCAGCCAGCCAGGATCGAACTGATGGCAGTGAGCCGTATGTTAGCCTGCAATACTGCATTCTGACCACTGGGCCACCATGGCTCCTGAGTGAGTTTCCCCTGGTTTTGCCATTGTTGTTAAGTGAATCACTGCAGTTGCTGAGTTAGCAAGATGGCTGTTACGTGAATCTGGCTTCCCCAGTGACTTTTGCTTGTCCGAAGGTCGCAAAAAGGGGATCCCTTTACGACACTGCGAACCGTCAGAAATGGGAGTCCTTTGCCGAGCGTCCGAATTTTGACCAGGTGACCACGGGGAGGCTACCAGCGTCGTTAAGTATGAAAAATGGCTACCGTAAGAATGGTTACAAGTTGAGGACTTCCTGTGTTCTAAAATCTTCTTCTTTAAAGAAATTCTTGGCTGCAAGAAAACTGCGCTTCAAATCAAATGTCCTTTTGGGCTGACATTTCCCCCTGTTTGTAACCAGGAAGTAAAGGGAGACCATGCAGAAAATTTGTCAGGGGCCATTTAGGGGTCACGACCTCCCTCCCGCCTCCCCCTCCCCCCTTTTTCACAGGGGCACATTAGGAAAATGGAAGAATCCTAGAATCTGAGGGCTGGAAGGGGCCTTCTTCTCCAACCCCTTGTCAAGTCAGGACTGGAAAACCTAATGGCTACAGCCCCAACCGTGCTTTATCCAAAACGCAACCGGACTTTCTCGTTCTTCTGTTTGAAAATGTTTCCCTTCTCACCCAAGAAGCTTCTTCAGCAAAGCTAAGGCTGAAGAACTGAACTGAAGAAGCTTCTTGGGTGAAAAGTGAAACATCTTCCAGCCAAAAAAAAAAAAAACAACCCCAAGAAAATCTAGTTGCCGTTTGGAAAAAGCAGCTTTGGGACAACCATGAGCTAGACCAGGGGTAGGCAACCTTGGCTCTTTTATGACTTATGGACTTCAACTTCCAGAATTCCTTCTTGCCTGCCTGCCTGCCTGCCTACCTATCTATTTATCATGTATATCTATCTATATATCTATCATCTTTTATCTATTTATCCTATCTATCTATCTCTATCATGTATATCTCTATCTCTATCTGTCTGTCTGTCTATCTATCTATCTCTCATATCTATCTATATCATATATATCTATCTACATCTATCATATGATATCTATCATATCTATATATATCATATTTATCAATCATATCTATCTCTATCTATCAAGCATATCTATGTCTATATATCTATCTATATCATGTATATCTATCTATCTCTATTGTATATCTATCTATCTATCTATCTATCATGTATATCTATATCTATCTATTTATCTATCTATCTATATCTATATCTATATCTATCATGTATATCTATCTATATCTCTTTCATCTATTTATCATCTATCTCTATCCATCTCTATCTATCTATCTATCTCAATGTATCTATCATTTATCTTTCATCTCTATCTATATTATCTACGTCTATTTTCTTTCTCTCTCTATCATCTATCATTTATCTTTCATCTTTATCTCTATATATTATCTGTCTATCTTTCTGTCATCTGTCTGTCTGTCTGTCTGTCTGTCTGTCTATCTATCTATCTATCTATCTATCTATCTATCTATCTATCTATCTATCATCTCTATCATTTATCTTTCATCTCTATCTATATCAGTGGTGGTGAACCTATGGCACAGGTGCCAGAGGTGGCATTCAGAGCCCTCTCTGTGAACACATGCGCTGTCGCTCCAGTCCTGGGCCTTCAGCTGGGTTTTATAAAACCTTTTCGCTTTAGGCCTCCACTGCCATGTGCAAAAAAAAAAAAAAAAAAAGGTTCAATCAATCAGTTAATTTCAACTTCTCGCGGGAAAAAAAAAGATCTTGCAAAGTTGGAATTGATTGATAGAACTTTTTAGTCCCACCCAGTCTGCCGTGACCACCGCAGCCACACCCACCCAATGGGCCATGCCCACCAATGGGCCACACCCACCCAATGGGCCACGCCCACCAATGGGCCACACCCACCCAATGGGCCACACACCTCGGCACCCGACGATGCATAAGTGGGTTTTGGGTTGCAGTTTGGGCACTCGGTCTCTCAAAGGTCCGCCATCACTGTTCTATGTTATCTAGCTCTCTTTCTCTCTCTCTCTCTCCCTCTCCCTCTCTCCCCCTACCTCTCTTTCTGGAAAGCCCTGCTTTTGGGTGGCCAAAGGGGCTGATTTCAAGGGGTCCTGAAACCCCTCCGAGGAGCCACTTCAACACAGTCTTTACCTTTAGGTTCCACACCGTTGGAGTTAAAATGCATTCTTTTCTGACACTCAGTGCAGCTCATGAGGAACCTGGTCACGGCTTCTCGGGGGAGGAAGGCGTAGGTTTCTGCAATCTGAAGGAAGAAGAAGAAGAAGAAGAGAGCAAGGTGACCTCCGTGGCCAAGTGAAGACCCCACACAGCTCCATCCGGCAACCCACCACACGTCTCCCTCCGAAGTCAGGATTCCAGGCAGACACAGGTCTCTGCGCAGGTGGTTCTCGGCTTACGGCCACAACTCAGCCCAAGGTCTCTGTTGCTCAGGGAGACGCGTGTTAAGTGGAGTTAAGCCCCATTTTACGACCTTTCTTGCCCCAGTTATGAAGTGAATCCCTGCAGTTGTTACATTAGGAACACCGTTGTTCAGCGCATCCAGCTTCCCCCCCCCCCCCGTTGACTTTGCTGGCCGGAAGGTCACAAAAGGGGAGGCCGCAGACATCAAGAATAGGAACCAGTTGCCAACTGTCCGAATTTTGATCACGCAACCATGGGGAGGCTGCTATGGTCGTAAGTATGAAACACAGTCATAACTCAGTTTTTTCAAAGCCACTGTGACTTTGAACAGTTGTTAAATGAATTATTGTAAGTTGAGGAATACCTATATCTATATCTCTATATTTATATATATCTATGTACCTATACATCTCTCTCTCTCTCTCTCTCTCTCTCTCTCTCTCTCTCTCTCTATATATATATATATATATATATATATATATATATATATATATATATATACATATATATATATATTCTCTCTCAATCTATCATCTATCGATCTCCCTCTATCACTCTCTTTATCATCTATCTATCTTTCTCTCTCTCTCTCTCTCTCAATCTCTATCATCTATCTCTATCTCTCTCTCTATTATCTATCTATCTATCTATCTATCTATCTGTCTGTCTGTCTGTCTGTCTGTATCTATATCTCTATATTATATATATCTATGTACCTATACATCTCTCTCTCTCTCTCTATCTATCTATCTGTCTCTATATCTATCTATCAATCTTTCTCTCTCTCTCAATCTATATCATCTCTCTCTATTATCTATCTATCAATCTATCTTTCTCTCTCTCTCAATCTTTCACTATGTCTCTCTCTATCTTTCTCTCCCTCTCTCTCTCTCTCTCAATCTCTGTCTGTCTGTCTGTCTCTCTCTCTATATATATATATCTTTCTCTCTATATATATATATCTCCGTCTGTCTGTCTGTCTGTCTGTCTGTCTGTCTATCTATCTATCTATCTATCATCTCTATCTATCATTTATCTTTCATCTCTATCTCTATATATTATGTCTGTCTGTCTGTCTGTCTATATCTCTCTCTTGCAAGCCCTGATTTTGGATAGCCAAAGAGGCTGACTTCAAACAACCCAGGATTGCAACACACACATTAACACAACAATTCCGAGATCTGAGGTTATGAGTCAAGCTGAGTCACCCTCTTCAAAGCAGACCAGGGCAGGCTCCCCGCAGATCCGCTTGCTGAACGGGTCAATACTGCATTTACCAGAATCCCCAGCCGGCCTAGCTGAATTCTGGAAACTGGAGTCCCCGTCTTGTCTGGATGGCGCCAGGTTAGGGTAGGCTGCCAGAGACCTGGCCGACATTGCTGGCTAATTTCTAAGGCCGGAGACCAGTACAGCAGATAAGCATACATGAAATTTTATTCCAAAATAGCTTTCGGGAGTCTCAAATCCTCTTGAGTTTTTTTGTTATGGTACGATCGTCAAGTCTCTTACAGAACCACAGAATTGTGGGATCAGAAGAGCTCATTGAACCTTTTGTGGTACACAAGGACATACTGGTAGTCCTCAACTTACAACAGTCCATTTAATGACATATGCAAAATGACAATGGCACTGAAAAAAGGGATAACTAATCCTCACACGGATGACCATCACAGCGTCCCCATGGCCATGTGATCAAAATTCATGCACTTGGCAACTGGCTCACATTTAATAATAATAGTAATAGTAGTAGTAGTAGTTAATAATAATAATAATAATAATAGAGTTGGAAGGGACCTTGGAGGTCATCTAGTCCAACCCCCCACTCAGGCAGGAAACCCTGTAACACTTCAGACAAATGGCTGTCCAGTCTCTTCTTAAAAACCTCCAGTAATGGAGCACCCACAACTTCTGGTGGCAAGCTGTTCCACTGGTTAATTGTTTTCACTGTCTGGAAATTTCTCCTTAGTTCCAGGTTGCTTCTCTCCTTGATTGGTTTCCATCTGTTGCTTCTTGTCTTGCCTTCAGGCGCTTTGGAGAATAGCTTGACTCCCTCTTCTTTGGGGCAGCCCCTGAGATACTGGAACGCTGCTATCATGTCACCCCTGGTCCTTCTTTTCGTTAAATTAACAGCAGAGAATAAATAATAATAATATACCATCGAACATCCACATCTGCCTATCCCAGGTCCTGGATAAGGTCTCGATAGGTAGACAAAATGCCAAATCCAGTCTGAACATCTGGCTGACTGTGCGATGATCAATAATAATAATAATAATAATGATGATGATGATGATGATGATGATGATGTCGGAAGGGGCCTTGGAGGCCATCTAGTCCAACCCCCTGCTCAGGCAGGAAACCCTATACCATTTCAGACAAATGGCTGTCCAGTCTCTTCTTAAAAACCTCCAGTGTTGGAGCATTCACCGCTTCTGGAGGCAGATAGTTCCACTGGTTAATTATTCTCACGGTCAGGTTGCTTTTCTCCTTGGTTATTTTCCATCCGTTGCTTCAGGCGCTTCGGCGAATAGCTTGACTCCCTCTTCTTTGGGGCAGCCCCTGAGATACTTGAAGATTGCTATTATGTACGGCTCTTCTGAATCCCCTCCCATCATTTCTGGATACGGGGTGCCAGAATCTTTCACAGGCTCCCCAGAAGTGGCTTCATCCTTGCTGGGTACCGATGAGTAAAGATTACACCTCCCTTTGATGTGAGGCATCTTCTGATGATGCCCAGAAGCACATTACCTCACGTTATCTCCTACTCCTGACTCATCTTCAGCTGGTTGTCAGTGTCCACAGCCCAACATCTTCTCAGATCTCAGTCCTCCAAGCCCTCAATTCCCCATTTCCAGGGCGAATCTGTAGTTCAGTGAGGTCTGTCCCATTTTACGACCTTTCTCGCCAGCGTCGTTAAGTGAATCGCTGCAGCTGTTAAGTCAGTCACCCGGTCGTTAAGTGAACCCGCCGTCCCCCACTGACTTGGCTTGTCGGAAGGTCGCGAAAGGGGATCGCGTGACACCCCCGGGACACGGCGACCGTCGTAAATATGAGACGGTTGTCGGGAGTCCGAATTTTGATGATGATGATGATGATGATGATAATAATAATAATAATAATGATGATGATGTTGGAAGGGACCTTGGAGGTCATCTAGTCCAAACCCCTGCTCAGGCAGGACACCCTATACCAGATCATGCAGCCCTGGTTGAAAGTGTTTGAAAAACGGTTACAAGTGGCTGTTTTTCAGGGCCGCTGTTAAGTTGGAACGGTCACTAAGTGGACGGCTATAACTTGAGGACCGTGTGTGATCTCTTGATGTCTCCCTAGCAAAGCACAGCTTGCTTTTCACGGCAGTTTGGCAACCAATCCAGATCCGTCATCCTGAGGGTGGGACACAACGACAATTGTTGCCCTCTGCAAATTTGATAAGCAGCTCACTGACCCCCCAGGAGACCCCCCCCCCGAAGGCTCCGACCTCTTCAACCCTTTGCAAAAGGGCGGAAAAGCCGGCTGCATCCCCAGACATTCGGGTCTGGAGGGAGCTGAGCTGGGAGGCCGTTGATGTCCTGCCTTCCAAGGTGGGTTGTCGTTTTCGCTTTGGGCACCTGGAGTGGCAGCCCCCCCCCCGTTCTCTGCTTTTTTATATATGTTGCCTGTAGCAGTTGTGAGTTGAATGAGGCACGGGGGGGGGAGGGAAATAGAGAAGGGAAGAAGAGAAGGGGAGGGGAGGAAAGGAAGACAGCTAGAAGGGAAGGAAAGGAAAGGAAAGGAAGAGGAAAGGGAAGGAAGAGGAATGGGAAGGAAAGGAAAGGAAGAGGAAGAGGAAAGGGAAGGAAGAGGAATGGGAAGGAAAGGAAAGGAAGAGGAAAGGAAAGGAAAGGAAGAGGAAAGGGAAGGAAGAGGAATGGGAAGGAAAGGAAAGGGAAGGAAGAGGAAAGGGAAGGAAGAGGAATGGGAAGGAAAGGAAAGGAAGAGGAAGAGGAAGAGGAAAGGGAAGGAAGAGGAATGGGAAGGAAAGGAAGAGGAAAGGAAGAGGAAAGGAAAGGAAGAGGAATGGGAAGGAAAGGAAAGGAAGAGGAAAGGGAAGGAAGAGGAAGAGGAAAGGGAAGGAAGAGGAATGGGAAGGAAAGGAAAGGAAGAGGAAAGGAAAGGAAGAGGAAGAGGAAAGGGAAGGAAAGGAAAGGAAGAAGAAAGGGAAGGAAGAGGAATGGGAAGGAAAGGAAAGGAAGAGGAAAGGGAAGGAAGAGGAAGGGAAGGAAAGGAAGAGGAAGAGGAAGAGGAAAGGGAAGGAAGAGGAATGGGAAGGAAAGGAAAGAAAAGGAAAGGAAAGGAAGAGGAAAGGGAAGGGAAGGAAGAGGAAAGGAAAGGAAGAGGAAAGGGAAGGAAGAGGAAGGGAAGGAAAGGAAAGGAAGAGGAAGAGGAAAGGGAAGGAAGAGGAATGGGAAGGAAAGGAAAAGAAAGAAAAGGAAAGGAAAGGAAGAGGAAAGGGAAGGAAGAGGAATGGAAGGAAAGGAAGAGGAAGAGGAAGAGGAAGAGGAAGAGGAAAGGGAAGGAAGAGGAATGGGAAGGAAAGGAATGGAAAGGAAAGGAAGAGGAAAGGGAAGGAAGAGGAATGGAAGGAAAGGAAGAGGAAGAGGAAGAGGAAAGGGAAGGAAGAGGAATGGGAAGGAAAGGAATGGAAAGGAAAGGAACAACCCAGTTCTGAGTAAACCAAGGCCCCCACAGTTGTCCTCCTCCTCCTCCTCCTCTTTGCAAACCCCACTCCCTTCTAGCACTGATGACGTTCCCTAGTTGGGTCATGAAACGTCTGCAAGGAAACAACCACGCTCAGAGAGCACC